CCCCAAAACCCCAAAACCCCATAAGATCAAATAAAGAAATGCGAAGATATGAAATGAAAAAAGTAAGTTTTATTTTTTATGAAATTATCAATTATATTTATTTTTTTTGCTCTAAAGCAGTTAGTATGCATTTGTCACAAAAATATCAATTAAAGCAATCTTTGTGTCTATAGCTACTTCTTACTCTAAAGTTTAATACATGCTCTACTTTTTAAGCATTTACTTTTACTTCTCCTGGTAGTTCAATTTTTCTATAAGATCTAAGTCGTAAAAATTGGTAATTTTGTACCCATCGTAATTCTGAAAGCCTCCCTTACTTTCACTAATGTGAACCATGTTTATTTTTAACTTTTATAATTCGAGAGACAGAACTTAAAGTATAGAGGAGATTGATTTCCTCATCACCTCCTTGGATTAATTTGACATCAGTTTCAGCAATAATTTCACTTAATCTAGCTTTCTTTAAATCCGAGAGTTTTGGATTACTCATTAAATGATCAAGTATTTGATAGATTACTTACTAAACATCGAATCCCTCCCATAATAGCTCTTAAGTTAAAAATTGTACATCACTAAATCCATCTGTATTTGAGATAATCTATTCAACTTTAATAATAAATTCATGAGGCACAATCCCACTAATACTCTCAATATCCCTCTTTGTTATATTATTTTGTTTGAATGTACTTGCAGTTTGCAAGGTATTAATACTTCTTCTCAAATCGCCAGCAGATATATCTACTAAAGATTGGAAAACATCATCAGACTCAACTTTAACATTTTCCTTTTCACATATAAACTTAAGTCTGTCAATTTATGCATCTCTTGCAATAGGGGAAAATCTAAATTTCACACATCTAGAGGCAAGCGGATCTATGATTTTTGAAATGTAGTTACAAATAATGCAGAATCTGGTATTGCTTGAGTATTATTCAATTATTCTCCTAAGAGCGGCTTAAGCATCAATAGTCATTGAATCTGCCTCGTCTAAAATAACAATCTAAATACTTGGACAGTTGAAATTTGAATCTGGATGCTTAGCAATCTTTCTCTAAGCAAATTTCTTTACTTTTTCCCTCACTACTGCTATACCTCTTTCATCAGAGGCATTAAGTTCTATGACTCTCTGTTTGAAAAACTCACCTCCAAATAACTCCTTAGATAATGCTAATATTGTTGATGTTTTTCCTGTGCCTGGAGGACCATAAAACATCAAATGAGGTACTTAACCAGTTTATATACTTTTCCTTAGGGCAGCGACCACCTCCAACTAATGTGAAACTTCTTCAACTTTAGATGGCCTATATTTTTCAACCCATGGAGTAAATTTAGGTCTTTAAACTGGATCGAGATCGACCATGTCATGATTGAATTTTTAAGTAGTATTTATTATAATAGATCCAGACTCTACTTGTTTTGATTTATGATTTCCTTTTTTAAGAAAATGTTGCATAATTATCTATTTGGGGTTTTGGGGTTTTGGGG